AGGGAGTCCCGGGACGCTACAGTAGTTCAACCCCCAGTTAACATAGCTTGCAACCAGGACGTAGCACGTAGACCCTATCAAAGTCCATGTAATGTATAGATTCTGCACGACTCATCATCAAGAGTAAAATCACTTATCAGCAGAAAATTTACTAAACCATTACTCAGAACCATAATCGTTCGCAAAAATACGCATCAAAAGACAATTGCAAAACCGAATTTTTCTCTTAAAATATCAGAGATAGCGAATTTCTAAATGAAGACTTAGTAGAGTCATGCTTTGTCTTTATTTTAATTGGGGAAATGAATTAAATACTTAGGTCTATGAAAGGAATTCGGAGGTGGTCAATCGTTCTGCCCGATAGTACTGGTTCCACACTATCTCTATCATACATAGGTTAAGGAATCAAAATTCATCTAAGGAAACCCTTCTTTATTATAAAAATTAAACTTCCCAGGGAATATTGAAATAAACTAATTGATTTCAAAATTAAACTTAATGAACTTTATGCAGTGCTTTATAAATAAATGGCTTTTGCTAATTCACTTGACAAATCCACCCCATTCCTAGTAGCTCGGGTATGGGGTTTTAAGTTTAATTAATAAAAATCACTCATCTATCCTCGTTTAATGCTAAAACAGACATTCTGATCTGATATGCTAATTTGCATAAGGATTATTGCGTTTAGTTTGCAGCTTAATTTAGCTCCAAGCAACATGATTCCTTTTAAGGGAGCATTAGGGTACAGACGAATAAGATAAGGTGGAAAATGGGGCACATTTAAAGAATTCTTTGGAAGATATCAGTAACTTTAGTGGCAGCCAAATCAATCCATCTGTAAAACATTAATTTTTTTTCTGAAAAAGAGAATAGAGGGATTAACAAAGCCACTATCTGTATTGCTTATTGGATTATTAAAAATTTGAAATTTGCGAATTAATGTGTCCCTAAGGTTTTTTAAAGTGGATCATCTTCACATGAGCCTATTTGGCCGTGCAGCACTTAGGGCTGTGCACTCGCATCTTTGGACTCCCGAGGGCTTACTATAAGGGGAATACCCTTCAAGTAATGTAACCTACATCAGACCATACAATATAGAAACGGATCTAGAGCCACTTAATTACTTGTGTTACCCTATAAGCAGTCCAGGTTTTTTTGACCCCCTTATTTCCAAAGATCAACTAGCTTCCGTTAAAAATAACCTAATAAAATCAAGGGATGACATCCATGAACAGCCCGATTTAATATTTTAAAATAGTTGGATTCTTGGGCAGATGGTGCAAAAAAATATGTCTGTATTGCTAAGTCCCTAAGTTCTCGGGCATCGAAAGAACAATCCTCGCAGTAATTAAGCCAAATCCCTTAAAGTTTGAATATCGCGAACATCGGGAAGGTAAGTTTTGGCGTCACCTACAGCACGTGGTCGAAATTAGCACGTAAATCAGTGACGGTACGGTTTTTTACCTACGGTGAATCGGACTACAAACCAGGCAAAACCGCTTCCCTACCGGGACAGAATTAGCCCACAGTTAAACCACGTTCCAGTTGGCTGAGTCGGATCTACTCAGGCTTTACGATTGGCTCCGACCGTCGACGAATCGATAGGCCGGAGGAGCGTACGCACACGTATGTCCGCGTGGGATCAATGCGTGGGTGGAGGAAGGGATAGGGGCAGAGGCCAGACATTCCCAGTCAGCTACCACTTCCCTCTCGCTCGTCCACCTCGTGACTTTTCCTCCTCGGAGGCATGTTGAATTACTTAAAACGTCGATTCTCTTCCACCGAACTCATTAACGAATTTAAATCCGGAGTCGGCTATGGCACGCAGCAGAGCCACCAGCAGACAGCGTCGAACCAGAAACCAACACAGGACTATAAGTATCTGCCGGAGGAAGTTCGCAGACAAACCGTGGAGGAGATGTACAAGCAAGTCGCTGCGGATAGTGAACAGACAAGGGGAGCGCGAATGGCTTTTCCCAGTGCGCCAAGCTCTCCAACTAAGCAGTCTTCAATGGGCATTGGTGGCGGCAGTGTAGGCAGCGGTTTCATGAACACTGTCACCGGACAACTTACCAAGGCTAAGCATCTCTTCTCCACGGAGACGCTAAATTCTATCATTGCTGATGTGAAAGTACCTGGTGTTGCGAGTGGACCGAAATCCAAGATTCTGCTGGTCATTGATCACCCTCTCACTGATTGGTCAGTGAACGGGATTATTTGCTAATATTTGAAGGAGGGCTTGAATGAATGCCAATACTTTAGCTTTACCTTCTAAACACTGATATGGAGCCTAACAGAACAAATCCAAACACTAACATGAATTTAAACGATCAAAATTAAATCCAGCGAGGCTAAAAGAAGCTAAGACCCCATTTCAGTTTAATTTTCCGCCTTTTGGCATTTGTTTTTATGGTTGATGCATTTTCGTCTAGTGTAAATGCGCAATCTCTCGGTTTGTAAATAAATTTTTGGACACCATATTTGAGGGAATTTTAGTTCATGCTGATTTAATGTTTTTTTTTTAATTGTATTCGTTAGTATACGCTGCGCCGAATTAATTTCGAAAACAGTTATTTTTGCTTCCCAATCACACTCCTGCTCCTTCAGAATCCTAAATTAGTACAGCTTTGGTATCTACCACGTCCACTTAAGGTATTTTATGCGACTAGAGAAATGAAGTTGGATGTTAAAATACGTATTCTGTTACCTGATAATTCTTGTTTGATTGATATAAATGATGCGATACATTTACTTGTTATGCAATTTTTAGTAGTTGCGCGCCAGTGGTCTTTGTTGCCAAAAAGTTATTTCCGCTTACAAAAATTGCCAGTAATGTACGTGGAATTACACGCCGATGTGAACCTCTGAATGGTTTCGTTTGCGTATTTCTTATTTCGAGAAAGTTTCAATTCTCAGCCACTCAATAGCCTCTTAGTCGGCCTAGGACTCGCCTCACCCTCCCTATAAAAAGCTATTGTCCTTCTCTACTGCAGATGTCTACGCTGTCCATTATTCCAGACTTGGAACTCAAACTGTTTCTCTAATGATATCCACCTTCGAAAGCAAAAAAAATTAATCAGTTGGTAGTTCACACACCTTGCTGTTCAGTAATTTAAAGTGTTACTTGGTTAATGCCCATTTGTCAGTATAACATCATTTAACTTAGGAAGGGCACCTACAATGCACCAAACAAAACTTCTAATAGATCTGCTTCAGGCATGGACGATTATCTTAGAGCAGCCAAGTAAGTGTGACTGGTAGTACATACCACAATCAGCGTTCTGTAAACTTTTACTTCAGGTAACAACTAGGGATGGTAAAAACGAGATTGGTTTAGTATTGATACATTCTTTCCCTTTTTCTGCCTGATCAAGTTACTCCACGGCTTTAATTCCCACAATGCAATGGCTCAAAGTGGAAAATTTACCCACGCGTTTGCCATTGACGAAAATGACCCCGGACGATGCTTTTCAATGAGCTCTAGGCCGTCTTATGTTTATCCAATTTTTGCCCTCATCTTTTTCTCATTAGATATGCTTATTTGTGTGTTGCAGACATTGTGAGCCAGTCATTGTAGACGGCAGCCATGCCTGTACAGCTCGATTAACCATCTATTCGACTTTCATTGTTATCCACAGGGCCAAATATCTACACAAACGAAAAATTGATGGCGATTGGGAAGTTCGGGTTGAACAAGTAAGTTAACTTGAGTTCCTTAATTTCAGTTCATGCTCGTATCTCCACTAACTGCATAAAACGCAATCCCCAAGTTTGCTCATCAAAATTTGCAGGATGAATGAACAATTATTCTTCGCACTCCTTTTGCTGTTTCTTCCAATCAGCAAGGAGTCTTGGAGAATTTTTAATGAGCCAGCTATTTATAGAATTTCCATAAAAATTTTTATTGTGACTTAGATAAAATCGAAAACAATGACAAAGTGGGGACATTTTTGCCAGGAAAATGAGAAAAATTTGGCCTAGGGATTCAGGGAGTTGCGTTAGCGTGCGGTTCAGTTGTTTGAGCAGATAAAAGTTATTTTTGCCATGCATTTTCAGTCTATAATATTCAGATTTACGGTGGTTTTTAGGCTCAAATGAATGACATTAGCATCACAGCTTACCCTGATCAGGGTTGTGTTGTAACTGTTCAGGACGGAAGAGGAGCCCGTTCAGCGGCACGGTACGTTTTCTTTGTCTTTCCACAAAACTTAAAAAGGGCGCAACTTTGGTTGCCTGAACGATAAGACCATTGAACAAACTACTTATTTGTGATTCCATGCTTACAATAAAACCATTTTAAGTCTTTTCTGCATTGGCACTGGAGCTTCGTTTTGAGCCCCATTTATTCATGAACTATGCATGGCCCTGTGTAGATACTACATATGATGGCAACAGCAAACATTTGGCGACTAAAAACAAGGTATTCTTTTGTTTCATATCTAAGGCTTGATCTCTGTCCTGCCATGTATCTATTACCGTTGGATGGCTCTCGAATTGGTAGTCCAATAATGGAAAGCATCATTTCGCACAAAATTAAAACTCTTCATATTCCCATTCATTAATGGCTATTTTGTAGCCACATTTTTGTTTTAGATTTATGAGTGGTTTAACGCAATAATTACTACTTTAAGCAAATAAATTTATGTTTTTTGAGGAAAAACTAACATATTTGTGGTCAACTGATAACACACACAACACTTGCAAAACTTCTCTACAAAAACACCAATGTTCTATTTAAAAGTTTACCACCTCGAGTGGATAAAACTAATTACGATTACCCACTCATTCAGGGGCGATTTGAGTTGCTAAAATAGACTTCATGGTGGATGTACCCTGGATCCGCATTGCTTTTCGACCATTTGTCTACATGGGGTGTTGTTTGACCACTTTGAAATCAGCAGCATTACTGAAAGTCAGCACATCAAATGAGCTTCTTTAAGACTGTCAAAAAACATGAAATCGGTCTCCACTAAAAAACAATTTGATTAAATAAATAACTAAGGTATACTTGTTTTTGGCTTTGAGGTACTAGTCTGTTTGAGGTGCCAATTCCAAAATTTCTTCCAACTCGAATTTCCTGTAGGAATCTCGCAGTAGTCATTTGAAGTATTGGTTGATAAAAAAGGAAGTGACCCGCAGTGACGCTGACGAGTTAATGTGGTGGTTACCATAATGATGCAATAATCACTACTTACCTCACTGTTTCCTACACACCTCTTCATAAAAGTGAAATACTTCCCAAGTGACACCCCTTTTTAACAGCCTAATCAGTTATTATGAAACAGTTTATAACATTTAGCAGAATTACGAATGTTGGAAATTGTAAGTGGATAAAAAATCTCCTCACCAGCAGTCTAGACCCTCTCAGTCATTTGCTTAAAGACGCTTCTTGGTTAGCATTAAGGCAACCGTTTGGAGACCAGCCAATTCAATCAAACTTTAATAATTTAATTTCTACAGAATGTTCAAACCGGATTTTGTGCTTATTCGACAAGGACTTGGCGCAGCAACGCAGCACTATGAGAACCTGATCACCGGATTCATGTTTGGTGCAGTGCCTTGCATGAACTCTATTGAGGCCGTCTACAACATGCGCAATAAAGCTTGGCTCGTAAGTTGTTCATAAGTCATTGAAGGCACTACTAAATGGCGTCTCGCCGTAGCAAGAGAACCATGACAACCACCAAAGAGGCAGATCCGCTGATCACGACGAGTTTCATTGGCATAAAAGTTATCACACACCCATCGTGTGAAGTCTTGGCTTACTTAACATGTTTACGACTCTTTTTTTAGTTCTCCAACCTACTGAAAATTCAAAAAAGACTGGGTGCCTACGACTTTCCACTAATTGCACGGAGCTATCAAGCCAAAAGCCAACCGCTGGTACATTTACGAGTCGTAGTCTTAACCTGGATAATAATTTCTACATTTAATTATTTAACAAGGACACTTATAAACACATCATTTTAAAGGCGAAAGTTCAATGTCAACTGAAGAGAACTTCCAAATTTTATTTTAAGTAAATGAAACCAAAAATACATTTTACCAGTTCAGTTAAGTCCCCTTTGATCGTGAATGAAACTAACATTAACTGATTAGTACTAGCTTTGATGGGCACTTTTACCAAAATTCCTTTAAGTTTTTAACAAATTTTATTATGGATGGATTTTTTATGTCTTAACAAAGATTAGAATTATTTATCTTGGTGGGGTGAGGATGGTTGCGGAACCCGTATTTGAGTAGCATCTAGAATGGAAGACTTTCTTCAAAAATGAGTACAAACCAGCCCCAATGCGGGAATAAGGATTTCATTTGTTCAAACGTCCTTGAATGGGATGAAAAGATCCTAAATGACCTTACCACTGCAACAGTGAGAGAACTGTAATGAATTATAACTGAGCCCCAAAATTGAGTAACAACAAATGCGAATGGCTGCAACAACTGCCTTTAAGAAATAAGACCAAACCCTATTACAAGCTTTACGAATAACTGATCGACTGAATCACCAAGATCAATTATTCTTAAGCTATTCACAAAAAGAGTAAAATATCACTTATTGCGCTCATTTTAGGTGCCTGATTTCCAGATGCCGGTAAACGTTCGACTTGGCGGCGACTCTGCACGTGAATGCGAGGTAGGAGAGTTGATGTTTTAAAAATAAACTTGACACTTCTTTTTGCTCATATTGATAGTAATGTACCATTCGGAGAATATTTAAGTTAAGCCCATAATTAGTTATGATCAAAAGGTACAAAGTTAAATGTCTTTCAAGAACTATTGTTTGTACTGTTGCCGCCCTTAACTTTAAATCGCTTGTGTGTCTCCCAACTGGAGTAGCTTGATTAACATAATCTGTAGTACAAATAACGCTTGTTGTCGAAAAGACAGTGAATAATTTATCATTGGAGCGTGGTAGGTAGTCCATGAGCGCCTGCTTTACCAGCATCCAGGCCTCCAACAACCGGCACTTTCCACAAGTTAATTTTGCGCCGTTAAGTTTTAACACATACCAGTAAATCCGTAATTGACCCACTCAAAATACACGTTAGCGCTGTTGTAAAACAACCGTAAACAACATGCGTTTCCTTAAAGGACTTACTGATGTGAGTGCATAGGAAAACAGCCAAGTAGAATGTACAACTTCTAAGTTACTCATTTCAAAATCGCTTAGCTTTACTCCCTCATCTCCGAGGGAAGGTGTATTTTGGCTTAGTTTTGTGTGGTGCTTGCAACCAAACAAACAGAAAATTGGAAGGCAGAAAAGTAGGTACTTTTAAGTTGGTCAAATTAGCACGTTTTTATTTTGTATTACCATAATAAATTAAGGTTGTGGACCAGTGGAAATGGAACCGGAAGTAACCGTTTGTCTAAAGTAGGTATACACTATAGTATTTTAAAGAGACGCGTATCATCCAGCGGAAAAACTTCGTTGAAATTTACACAAGCGACGAAGAACTACCGATTCCGGAAGTAGACGCGTTTAACAAGCTAAGAAAATGCCATTTTATGAGGCAATCAAAAGTTTGATTTTGACTGGAAGGGTTGAAGGAAATTCAGTATTGAGTCAAATTCTGCGCAAGACTGGTGCAAGCCGAGCTTAATGGCTGTCTATTTCCTCCTCAAGATTTCTCTTAATTTACTTCAATCTTAAAGTAAACTAGAATGTAATTTCTCTTTCAAACCTTCAAGAACCCTTTTTTATTGCCCACGCTTTCAACGACCAGGTAATTTTCGGATCCATAGTCTTGTTACAAAATGATGCGACATTAATGAAATTCTCACAAATTATCCGAAGAAAAATGCAAAACATACAGTCGTAAGAGAAGACTGATTTCCCTACTGTCTCATAGGTGCGGGTTGAAGACACTGCATTATTCCAGAGCCTAATGAGTTTGGCCAACAATACTCAGCGCTACGCCACCGTAGAACCCTGCGTTCAAAGCATCTGCGAGATACTCATTCAAAAGATTGGGCCCTTTACCAAGGCCTTTATGCAAGTTATCAGCGCTTTATTTCTAGTGTTTATGGATTAAAACAGGTATTTACCCGCTTTGTTGTAAATTTGTAAAAGTCTGTCTAGAAAAAGATATTAAATGACAATACTTATTGTCAAATATCTTCACCTGTTGTCTCAAATGGTTAGTCTTTGTGCTTTAAAAACCAGCTGGTTGCAATTTCGCTACCATTTTCTAAGGCTCAAATTAGCCTTGAACTTGTCGCTTATGAAATTAAACAATTGTTATGTCTTTTGGGCCGAAGTCACCCTCAAAGCTGGCATAAGGTAGCCATGAATTTGGATTGGTAAACATCGAGACGGTGTATTAACACCAATGAACAGCCCCCATAGAGGTCGTGGCGCAGAAAACTAAATCCCGTCAAAACAACGTGCACAAGTAACACAAAAGTGAGTGCTTTATAGTCCTTAGATAACTGCTAAAGTTGTTGGTGATGTATGGAGATTGAGTAGAAGCTTTATCACTCAATCAGAGATTTGTAGCAAAGCTGGCGTAAAAGGAGCCCAGAGTCGTGACCGGAACGACTGGCACAAGCGTTCTCAGCGGGTAGGGTTGGTAATTATTCAATGTTGGTCATTATAACAACAATTAAATGAGGCGAAATCAGCTACATGACAAGGACGAGGATTACTTCCAGGAGACACCCGATCCAGCTATACAGATATATCTCACATAACTTAAGAATACCTTCGTCATGATCTTTTTTTCAAAGATATTCCTTTTTTGAAATGCAAGAGTGTTTTAGGGGTCGGTTTCCCTTCCTTGGGAACATTTGCCTAAAACGTGATATACTTAATATAAGGTAGCTTCTTACCGTTGTTATTCGCTCATTTCTGTACTTTACCGCAAATGGAAAATACGAATTTGACTAATTTGGAGTGATTGCCACATTTAAATGATTTAGCAGCCTCTACAGTCAAATACCACAAATGATTTAAGAACTCCTCTTTGCCTTGATAGGAGAAAACCGATTTCTAACCCCTCTCTTGGATCGCCGGGATCGACTGTTCTGGAAAAGATTCCAGTCTCCCCAAGGTGAGGTTCTTGTAGTTACCTATTTCTACAGGCAGTTGAAGTTTATCCGACAAAATATGCGTAGGCTGTATTTGTTTTATCCCGCAAAGATATGCAATCATATGACCTCCTCAAATGACCCTGAAAAAAATTTGCGTGAATATGGAGCCCCACGTTTCTGTCACATCACTGAACAATTCTTCTTTGCTAAATAAAGATGAATCATACGGTCCCCACTCGCAGCACTTGCTTCAATAACAGACTGGATGTTGTAACATTGGATGTAAAAAGATTGTAGGCTCTTATTTACGAATTTAAAAAGTAAAACATGAATCAACCTTAAAAATAAAGAGGTTTAAGGGTGCTACCACCGAATTTCCAGCTAACAAGCCTATTAACATTCCTTGCTGATCTTTTTTGTTTCCTACATTTCCATTTAAGGACAAACATATTAAGAGGTGCGTTTGTTCAAAAAATAATGAAATAATTTTTAAATGACAAGTGTGGCTCACACTAAAAGCTAAGAGAACAATAAGAAAACCGTTTATTAACCACCAAGAAATTGTTATGATACGTATTTTCCAACAGTAATATCAAGATAAAACAAGGAAAGATTCATAATAATATCTTCGAGAAAAGTAATATTAATGGACGGTTGTGCTTGTCTACAGGCGTAAAGGTTTGTTAAAATTATTTGCACATATTATAGACCATAGACAGGTATGTCTCAATCTATCGACACGCCGATCTCTGGCGTGTTCCTCCTCAAGCTCCCCTCAATTTTAACCCTCTCAAGTAAAATTACGATCTAAACTGATGGTTGTGATTCAGGACTAACTCCAGGAAGAAACGGGTTGTACTCTGTTCCAAAGCTTTAGAATGTAGATTCTTGTAAAATTTGTTGACGAGCATTTTGAGAAGATGCCGTATGTCTTACCGGGTAACAGGGGGCACTGCTCAGAAGCAGTCCAAATGAACAGCGCAATTCTATCAGTGAATCAGTCACAGTCGGATGCAGCACGTTGGAAAAGGCTTCGTTCTCCATTCTCGATTGGAGGTGATAGTGACTTGGTGCTACTGACACCACATTTGACAATGATTGTGCCAAGAACCAATTTTTTAGCAATGCCTTATAATCGTGAATGGCAGAACAATCGGTCTACACCTACATCACCTGAGGAGGGGGAGGCATGGAGGATGCTCTAAGACCAATGCCTTTCATCACCCACTTGCTATCC